GTTTTATTGCTATAACTAGGATTTATGAGTCAATTTTAAATAGTAGCAATGTTGATAAGCACCTTTTCTTTACCAACTTATTAGAAAGGCCTCTAACTTTTCTCTGGTGCATATAATGTTTGTTTTGGGGTTTCTGAGTTTATAATTGCTAATGATAAACATTTAAAAACATTTTTGCTTCAAATCCAATATTCCTGGCCCTTTACAAGGAAATATTCTCCACAAATTCATATATTCCCTTAAAAAGACACATGGTGATAATTCCTGCTCTAAATAATTCTCTCCCCTTTTCTTTTCTGCTTCCTTAAGAGAGCAGAAAAATCCTCTCTCTCTCTTTAGAGGCTTGTCAGATTAAGACCTGCTCTCCTGAGAATCTCAGGCTTCTGTAATTTGAATCAGTGTTAACCAGGCTTAGTCAATGCTTCCCCCCCCTCCTTGCCCCGCCCCCCAGGCAGAAAGCCATCAGAGTTCCAATAATTAATTGAATGGCCGAGGAAAACATTTTAAGATTTTATGTAACAATCCCCAAACACAATAACCAATATCTTTACCATATCTGAAGTTTATGCAAGGCCAGATTTAATAAAACCCTCCTACAAGTGTATTCTGAGCGGTGGATGGCCTTTTATAACGTCATTGGTTTTTAAATCAAGCTATAAAACCTTCATTTTCAATTTTTCTACCTAAAACAGAATCAAGCTTCCTTACATTTTTAAAACTCCTTGAAGCTGGCATGAAGTCACCCAGAACAAACATCCAAGGGTGGGGAACTTAGAGCACATGGGCTCACCTTAGAACACCCTACCCCCACCTGCTCTCAAGCTACATATATATATATACACATTTCATTTTTCTTTTTTCTTCTCTTTTTCTCTATCCGTCATATTTTTGCTCAAAACCTTGACTCCTCTTTCCTACTCTTTCACATGCGTTACCCCAACTACCTCCAATTTCCTTTGTATTCCAAATTTTTTAAAAATTACACTCACCTCTTTTTCCCTGGCTGCTTTTCTTTGCCCTCTTCTGAAATCTGATGGGAGATAAGAATTGCAAATCCAGAGAATTGCATTCCCTCTCACTCTTTTCACAAACAGCTTTTATAATGTTACTATGCATTTTAAACAAATCACTGAAATCCTAAAGTGATCACCTTAAAAGACAGAAAAACCCTTATTTTTGCAGTTTTAAACACATTGCCTACAAAGACAGTAATTTAAACTCTTAGCTTTGGGATCTGATTAGACCTGAATTCACATTCTCAGCCCCTTTCCTCTCTCAGCCCTCCCTATCTTGGGCAGTAGGCTCTAACTCCTTATCACAGAGGTTTCTTGCTGCTCTGGCCTCACCTTCTCCTGATTTCTGGGAGAGTCCCTCCCTGCTCTTTGGTTCTGGTCTTCATCTCCAGCTGAAAGCCTAAGGTGGGAGTTCTTTCCCAATGTTCTTTCTCTAGTTACAGGCCTTAGAAGTTTTTCTGGCAAACATAAAACATTTACATACAGACAGACCAGACAACATGGGCACAATTTTAATCTTAACCTTGAACGGTCAAAAGCACCCCATGGTACTCCAGGTAGACTCCATGTCTTCCCAATATTTTGTCATCCTCCCTGATGGGCTATTTGGAGGAATCTCTGGAGGACTTGCAACTCACAATTAACAGAGATTTCACAAAAAGTAGGATCCCAGTTGATGACTCTGAAGTCACTATCAAACACAAAATGACCATACTGAGCAGAAGTAGGGGCTGCTGAAAGCAAAATGACCCCATCATTTTATGAGCTTCATAAGAAATTCTAAATATATGAGAATCATTGCTAGCAAATTTGAAGTATCTTTGGATGCTTTGGCCACTGAAGTCTGATTGGTTTGGCATTAGGCATCTATGCCTAAAGGTGGCTCTACAAATCCACCAGATCATGACTTAATTGGCTAAAAGAATCCTAATGGCCTTCTATGTTTTAGAACTTTTATAAAACTCTATTCAATAGTTTACCTGTTACAAATTGTTCAAATAGAAGAACTATTTTAAAATCAGCACATATTGGGGACAGCTAGGTGGCGCAGTGGATAGAGCACAAGCCCTGGAGTCAGGAGGACCTGAGTTCAAATGTGACCTCAGACACTTGACACTAGCTGTGTGGCTAAGTCAGTTAACTCTATTGCCTAGCAAAAAAAAAAAAAAAAAATTCAACACATATTAAAAAGAAGGCACAATGTTTGAGAATCCCTCCATTCCACCCCTCTGGTGAGTTCTTCCTAGAACCTCCATTTTGAGGAAATACCCAGACCATCCATTCTTCATCTCTCTCCAGTTCTGCTCCTGACTCTCCAGACTTCAGCAAGATGCCCTCTACTTCATCTCTTTTGAGCTCCCTTGTACTCTTCCCCCATGAAAATACAAACTTCTTGAGGGCTGGAAGAACCTTTCATTTGGTTTCATGTATATTTCCAGCGCTTAGCCACAAAGTAAGTGCTTAATAGTAAACACCCAGCTGGTGGTGCAGTGGATGGAACATTGGGTTTGGAATGAGAAGGACCTGAGTTCAAAATCTGCCTCAGCCATTTAATAGTTGTGTGACCTTGGGCAAGTCATCTAACCTCTAATTGCCTTAGTTTTCTCCATGATAAAATGAGGATAATAATAGTACTTCCCTTCCCTTCCCCACCCCAACCCTTACCCCCACTACCACCTAGAGAATCGAATGAGATAATATTTATAAAAAGTACCTGGCAAGTAGGCACTACACAGATGCGTATTTCCACCTTCACAACTGCCTTCAGAAATGTTTGCTGACTTGACACAATACCACCACTCACTAGTGATTTTGTACAGTGAACAAGAATTGGCTTTCATGGTTAATTAGAATAATGTAATCGAGGAACTTAAGCTCATAAGGCCTGGTCACCAATGTCTATTCTCCAGGACAGGAAGATGAAGAAATTTTAATCTGCTTTGGTCGATTTAGGGGATCTCATTTTCAGCTTAAATATATGGTTAATTTTCATTACCTTTATCTTCATATAAACTTGGTTATCACCACAGCTCAAACTAGTATTTTGTTTCTCATTTTTCAAGTATCATTGTTAATTTTGTTTTCTAAATAAGTTTCATTGTTTTAGTTTGATGGAAAAAAAAGAATGTCCTTTATCATTCAGATTTCAATAAATGTTTGTTTTTTAAAAATGTATCTATAAGAACACACTAATGAAAATATATATTAATCACTTCCAGAGATATATATCTACATATATAGATATCTATCAAAAGACATTTCTCTATAGATATTGGCAAATCCATATCTGTAGGGAGATCTAGATCTCGATCTACAGATAGATCTGACTATATATGTTAATATATAACGTGTGATTATGTATATAGTGTAGATAGAGATCTTTCTAAGATATCTCTATCTGTAGATATTGGTAGATCTATATTTATAGGTAGATAGATATAGATATCTTTTTATCTACAAAATAGATCTGTCTGTATCTGTTAATATTTGATATGTGATAGATATCTAGATGTTGCAGATATATCTGTAGCTATATCTACAGCAGTAGATATAGCTATAGCAATGTACACAGTATAGATATAGATCTGTCTATATATGTTTATAGGGTAGTTAGGTGGCACATTGGATAGAGCACCCAGCCTAGAGTCAGGAAGACCTATATCTACAAATCTGTCTATACAGATCTATATCTATACATCTGTCTATATGTGTTTATAGGGTAATTAGGTGGCGCAATGGACAGAACACCCAGCCTAGAGTCAGGAAAACCTGAGTTCAAATTTGGCCTCACACACTTATTATCTGTGTGACCTGAGCAAGTCACTTCACCCTGTTTGCCTCAGTTTCTTTATCTGTAAAATAAGCTGGAGAAGGAAATGGCAAACCACTCCAGTATCTTTGCCAAGAAAACCCCAAAGGGTGTCACAGAGAGTCGGACACAATTGAACCACTCAACAGTAAGTATTTATATATATGATAGATATCGATTGGTGGACCTGTATCTTATATAGATATCTTTCTATATATAAATAGCTCTGCCTATACCTGTTTATATATAATAGCTGTAAGTTAATAGCATAGAGATATCTACCTAAGATATAGTTACAGATAATGTTAGATTGATATCTGAGGGTAGATGTCTATCAAAAATAGAGCTGTCTGTATATGTTTATATAAGATATATGATAGCTCTATGTATATAGTATAGAGATACATACCTAAGATAGCTCTATCTATAGATAGTGGTTGATCTCTAGCTTCATCTATATGGCTCTGTCTATATCGAGTTTAATTATATATGATAATTATATGTTCACAGCATAGAGATATTTACCTGATATCTCTATAGATATTGTTAGATCATTACCTATAGGTAGATCTATCCATATCTATCTATAGATAGATCTGTCCATTTGTGATATGTGATAGTTATTTGTATGTACATAGTATAGATAGGGATATGCCTAAGATATCCCTATTTATAGATATCGGTAGATCTCTCTAGGTAGATAGATGTAAATATCTTTCTATGGATAGAAAAATCTGTCTCTATATGTTGATATATGATAGCCATGTAGATGCTGCAGACATTTCTATCTGTTCTTAGAGCTACAGCAACAGATAGAGCATAGGGATATTTCAACACGGTTTCTCCCAACTGGTTCTTTGTTCCCTTCCACTCCCACTGTTCCTTTCAGCCAACCCATCTCCCCTTCCCCCCAGGAAGTTTCGCGTGGTCTTTTTGTATCCTTCCAGCTCCCTTCACTGGACCCCATCCAACGGACCTCATCCCAATGTAGCCCACCCCACCGCACCCCAACCGCCCCGGAGTCTCGTGCTTGGGCCAGTGCCCTGGAAGGCGCCCCGGGGCGGAGCCAAGTTTCACAGCCCTTTACACCTTTGGCTGCTTCTCTGGATCCTTCAGATCTCCCTCCCAGATCTGGGCTGCAGCTCCCGGGCTCCGTGGAGGGGAGGCAGGAAGCTGGCATGGGGCCTGAGGGAGCCATCGTTTCGCAGCTGGCTGGCTCCCTTCTGCTGCTCGGCCTGGGCACGCTCCTGCTGGGCCCAGGCTGCCTGGCGCTGGCCTTCGGGTACCGCCCAGGGAGGGGCTTCTCCTCCTACGAAGTGATCATCCCCAGGCAGCTGGGTCCCCATAGGGGACATCCTGAGGTGTCGGGCCGGATATCTTACGTTCTTCAGGTGGAGGGCAGGAAGCAGGTTGTCCACCTTCTCCCTAAGAAGTTCCTGTTGTCCAGACACCTGCGCATTTTCTCCTTTACTGGGCAGGGAGCCGTCCTGGAGGACCAGCCTTCCATCCCTGATGACTGCAGCTACGGAGGTTACGTGGAGGGCTCCCCCGACTCCCTGGCTACGTTAAACACCTGCTTTGGGGGGCTCCGAGGGATACTGAACATGAATGGAAGCCTTTACCAAATGGAACCCTTGAAAGACTCTACAAAATTTGAGCACATATTATATCGCCTGAAGAAGGAGGCTCGAGCTGATCGCACCTGCCAGGCAATTGATGAAGAAACGGCTCCTCGTTTGGCCAAGCACCAGAACCTAGAGATTTCTGCCAAGTTTTCGTGGACGACCTATCTACACCTTAAGTATGTAGAGGCCTTTCTTGTGATATCTCATGGGAGGTATCAACTTTTGGGATCCAATATGACTGCTTGCATTAATGAGGGCTTTACTTTGATCGCTTTGGCAGACATGGTTTTTCAGGGACTCAATTGTCGAATTTATCTGGAGGGAATTGAGGTGTGGTCCGACCAGGACAAGATAAATATTAAGGACTCAGAAGAAGATAAAATTTATGAAGACTTTATGAGATATAAAGAGAAGCAACTAGACCATCGTGAAGAGTCAGATTGGGCACATTTAATTGTAAGTAAAGAGATCGCCACAAAAGCCAAGGTAGGAGGTATCTGTGATAAAGGAAATAGCGCATCTGTGAGCAGCCTGTCTCAAGAGAACCTGAGTGGCTCTAACGAGTTTCTTCATGCATTGGGCCATATTGTGGGCATGAAAGACGATGAGGATGGATGTGAATGTCAGGGTCCCGATAGATGCTTAATGGACAAAAACCCTGGCGACGGAGGTTTCAGTAATTGCAGTTACACAGAGTATTTTGAAAAGATAGCCACCTATGGAAGCTGTATGTCTAATGTACCCACACTAGGGAAAAGAAAAATTTCTGTATGTGGTGACAAAGTGGTGGAAGGAGACGAACAGTGTGATTGTGGCACACCAAAGGACTGTGAGCAAGATAAGTGTTGCGAGCCAACGTGTAAATTAAAAGCCAGAGCAACGTGTGGTTCTGGTCTTTGCTGCTATAACTGTAGATTTCGACTAGCAGGGAAACTGTGTAGGGCCAAAAATAGTGAATGTGACCTTGAGGAGTATTGCAATGGCACCTCTGAACACTGCCCTGAGGACACGTACATTCAGGATGGGACCCTATGCTCTCACCATGGCTATTGTTTCAATGGGTTTTGCAGTTCTCGGAATCAGCAGTGCAAGAATCTTTTTGGACGCAGTTCGACATCGGGACCTCTTGCCTGCTACCAAGAAGCCAATCGAGGGGACCGCTTTGGCAACTGTGGAATTATAGCCGGTGTTTATTCCAAGTGTGAACCTGATAATGTGTTATGTGGAAGACTGCAGTGTATCAACATCAAGATTGTTCCTGTCATGGCTGAACACTATACAGTAGTTATGAATTTTGTCAGCCAGGGCAATCTTACTTGCTGGGGGACAGACTTTCACGCTCCAATGAGTACAATGAAACTGTCAGATATTGGAGAAGTAAAAGAAGGCACTGCCTGTGGTGAGGGATTTGTATGTATTAACAAGACTTGTACAAACATGAATGTCCTTAATTTTGATTGTACAGTGGACAAGTGTACCAAGAGAGGAATCTGCAACAATAATAGAAATTGCCACTGTAACTATGGATGGGCCCCTCCATTCTGTAAGAAGTATGGATATGGAGGAAGTATTGACAGTGGTCCTCCCCCTAAATGGGAAAGGACTCCCTGGAAAAATGCCATACCCCTGGCCCTTTTTCTCATAAGGTGTTTTGCTTTAGCTGGAGCAGGGTTTCTGTCTGCCTTAGGTAAAGCAGCAGCTGCCCTTCAACGTTCATTTCGTTCCAAAAATGAAGCAGTCCAGTCAAGGGGAAAAAAAAAAAAGGAAACCATTATTGCTGAATAAGAAAGCAGATTCATCTATGTTACATGACTTGGAAGACCCTGAAATCTTCTCTTGAAACAGTAGCTCATAAAAACCATTAACTTCACGAATGTCATGTAAAGCTAGGTTTTCTTAGCTTACGTATTGTATCAGAAAATAAAGATCCTTTACCCCAATGAGATTTTTATATTTTGTGAGAGTTTTATCTGCCCCATAGCTTCTGTAAAAGGTTTAAAGGATCCTACTTGTCCAAATTTTGAACATTGAGATTGAGAAAGGGAATTGACAGGAATTTCCAGAGACACTTCAGGCAGAATTATCATTTTCAACATTTCAAACAACAGAAATCAAGGTACAGTTTTAATGCTTGCAGCATATGAACAGAAGCATATCTACAGTCCCACAAACAAAGTACTAGCTGTTTAAGCTTGAGCAACTCATCTGACCTTGCCAGGTTTTACCTTCTGGAAAAGAAAGGGGTTGCAGTAGATGACATCAAACTTACTTTCCACGCCATAATAATAGTACTAACTACTAAATTTTATAATTAAAAAAACAAACTGTTTTTATCAGAGCATTGCAGTGTTGTCCAGAATGGGAGTGGAGGAAACCAAAATCAGCTTATAGCTGGAGCCTGTAGCTTCACCCTTGTCAGAACTTGGCTTATTTTAATTCAATGAGCATTTATCAAGTGCTCTACCAGTAGGTGGCACAGTGGATAAAGTACCAAGCCTGGAGTCAGGAAGACACATTTCCCTGAGTTTAAATCTGGCCTCAGACACTAGCTGTGTAACCCTGGACAAGTTACTTATCTCTGTTTCCCCCAGTTTCCTCATCTGTAGAATGAGCTGGAAAAGGAAATAACAAACCACTCCACTGCCTTTGCAAAAAACAAACAAATGCAAAATGGGGTCACACAGAATCGGACACAACTGAAACATCTGAACAAGATTTATCACATTAAGGAAAGATTCATTTTTAGGGGCTGCTAGGTGGTGCAATGAATAGAGCACCAGCTAGAGTCAGGAAGAGCTGAGTTCAAATCCAGCCTCAGATACTTACTAGCTGTGTGGCCCAACAACAAAAACCATCAATTAGCAAGTATTAATTACTCATGCCTTCTATATGTCATTTCCTGTACTAGGTTCTGGAAATAGAAGTGCAAAGAGTGAAGCAATGCCTACTCTCAGTAAGTTTACATTGTCATACGGTAGGTAAAAAGTATGTATAAAAGCATGCACAGCATAAACATAAGCTGAATAAATATAAAGACATAAAATTAGGTAAATATAAGGTTGTTTGGGAAAGAGGACACTAGCACTCGGCAGGGGGTGGCGAATCAAAAAGAGCTTTGGATAGTAGATGGCAGTTGAGCTGTATTTTAAAGGAAGAGACCGAGATGGAGGTATGTAGGGAGTGCATTCCAGGTATGGGAAATGGCTGGTGCAAAGAAATGGAAACAGGTATATTGTATGTGGTGAACAGAGGCCAGTTTTGTGAAGGGGGTGACATGGTCAGACATATGCTTTAGAAAAATCACTTTGTCAGCTTTGTGGAGTATAACTTGGAGTAGGGAAAGGCTAGTGGCAGCTAGGTGGCAGTGCAGTGGATTGAGTGCTGGGTCTGGAGTCAGGAAGACCTGAGTTCAAACAGACCCTTATGCGACCCTGGATACAATCATCCATGTATACTTATAATGTTGCTGGCCAAAGGAGGGCCCAAAAAATAACCATGAAGTGGTGCTTGGGCAGGGATGTTTTGTTGTCCAATCTATGAGCTCCAGAGAGTCTTCCCCTCCCAGTTTGATTTTTTTGTTTGTTTGTTTTATTAAAGGGACCATCCCTTGACTCACTTCTTGAAAAGGCCTATTCACTGAATGTGCCTTACCTCACTCAAAGTGAGAAACTGAAAAGACCTTAGCTTAAAAGGGCCAGGGTCTCCCATGGCATCCTGGACCATCTCCAGTCATACTGATGAATATCTGGCCACTGGACCCAGATGGCTGTAGAGGAGAAAGTGAGGCTGATGACCTTGCACAGCCCTTCCTCACTCAAATCACAGTCAATTGCAAGTCAAGTCATCATCTCCCTGATGTCACGGTCCTCTTGGAGAACAAAAGACAAATACAACTTATGATGTATAATGGAGATACTAATTAATAACTCACTGAACCTCTTAACCTCAGTTTCCTCATCTGTATAATAGGGATAATAATAGTACCTATTTTCCAGGGTAGTTGTGAGGATCAAATGAGATAATCTTCATAAAGTACTTTACAACCTTAAAGTGCTATATAAATGCTAGCTATTATTAGATGCAGGGAACCAGATAGAATACTATTGCAGTAGTTCAGGCAAGATATGATAAAGGCTTGAACTAGAGCAATGGTTGTTGGCTGGGGAGAAAAGGAACCATCTAGAAGAAGAAATGTCATGAAAGTAAAAATGAAAATACTTAGCATCTGGTTGGATGTATGGGGTGAACGAGAATGAGGAATTGAGGAAGATTCTCAGATTGTAAACTTGGATGGCAGAAGGGAAGAGGATACCCTAGACAGAAATGAGAAAAGTTCAGAGGAGAGGTGGGTTGTGGGGAGAAAGAGCAGCAAATATGAGGTATTTTGCTTTGGATGTGTTGAGTTTGAGATGTCTACAGAACCTCTTATATGAAATGCCCAGTGGGCAACTGGTGACATGGAATTAGAGTTCAGGAAAGAGATCAGAGCTGTACACATAGATCTCAGGGTTACCTAATTCTTGTTGTTCAGCCATTTCAGTCATGTCTGATTCTCCATGTCCCCATTTGGGGATTTCTTGGCAAAGATACTAGAGGGGTTTGCCATTTCCTTCTCCAGCTCATTTTATAGATGTGGAAACTGAGGGAAACAGGGTTAAGTGCTTGCCCAGGGTCACACAGCTAGTAAGTATCTGAAGCCAGATTTGAACTCAGGAAGGTGAATCTTCCTGATTCCAAGCCCAGTGTAATACCTAGCTGATGAAGGAGCTAAGGAAAAGAATGTAAAAAGAGAAAAGAGGGTCCACTATAGAATTCATCTGTAAAATAGGGATAATATCTATAGTAGCTACCCTATAAGGCTGTTGTAAGGATCATTTGAGAGAATTTATATTAGGTGATAAATGATAATTAAGATAATTTATATTAAGAGTTATCAATGTCAGTCATTATTAGTTTTATTCATGTATCTTTTCCATAGTCATTTTAATTTCCTGAACATGAACATTTTAATTTTTCTTGAACACGAGGAATCCCCTACTCTGTGAATTTAGAAACATAATTCATGAGTCACCTCATTCACAGAAATGTATCCCGCAGTCTCATCTAAGGTTTATAATTGTTTCCTTCCAACATAGGTCTGGGAAAGCTGATCCAGAGCTTGTATTCCTAAAGAATGTCATAATTGTGCTATAATTTGAAGTACAGTATTTATCTAGTCTGTCCTAATAGCCTATTCTATTATTCCAGTGATGGACTCCAGTAGGGTGGTATTATGTACAAATATGTTGTACTATGTAGGAGGCAGTGTGGTATACTGGGAAGAGCACTGTCCTCAGATAAGAGGACCTGGGTTCAAATCCTGCTTCTCACACTACCTGTGTGATCTTGGGCAATTTACTTAATCTCCTTGGACCTTAGTTCTTCATGATTTGTTGTTGTTCAGTTGTTTTCAGTCATATCCTATTCTTCATTTGGGGTTTTCTTGGCAAAGATACTGGAATGGTCTGCCATTTCCTTCTCCATAATAGGGGTGGACTAAATCGCCTTCAGCTCTACACTTCAAAGGACTGTGAAGAAAGTGCTTTGCAAACTTTAATTCATTCTATAAATGTAAGTTGTAATTATTACAGCCAAAACATACTACTATCACCTCCCTCCTCCATGCCCTTCCCCACCCCTAATCATCAGTGTAACAGAGAGACTTGAGTGGAAGAGAAGAAAAAAAGGGTAGAAAGAGATGAATGGAAAAAAGTGGGAGTCTTAGGAAGATGGTAGAAGTAAGTCACAGGGGAAAGAAAACCAAGTATGGAGGGAGAAGTCTGAAATTAAAATTATAATTCTCACTGAACTGAAATGGCCCTGCCCTAGTGATTACAATGGGATATGCTCTCTCCCTGACTAGCTTAGCAACCACTTTATAGACCCACACCAGACCTTGTGTGATCTAATTTGTTTTGAAGTCAATCAGTCCAATATAGTAATGATAAAATTAAAAACTATCATTAATGTATCATAAATTTACAGTTTTTTTATACCCTAAACACTTATTTCCTCAACCAACCTACCTCCTATGAGCTATTCCTCTGTTCTAGGTCAGCCGTGCACAACGATGGTCATACGCTTCATCTTGCAATCACCCACAGATGCACCACCTCCATGTGCAAGAATTCAGAAACCTCCTTATCTGACCATAACCCATTGGCTTTTCATCTCTCCCTCTGCCTTTCCTTACATAGCCCTAATCTTCATCCACACTGTGACCTCTAATACCTTGATCCCTCAATTCTTTCCTAGGCCACTTCCCCTATGCTAGCTATGCTCTCCTCCTCCCCATTTGGACTCCTTGGTGAACCAGTTCAAGTCTACACTGTCCTCCTAGCCCCTTTCTCACATCACTGATTATGCCCAGCCAAGCCTCAGTCTTGGGTCATTCCCATCATTCATTGCCTTAGTGCAGACACATGTGCTGCTGAATGAAAGTGGAGAAAATCATGCAATCGTTCTGACTGTATCCACTACAAATTTATGTTCCATCAGCTCAACAGGGCCGTCACTACGGCTAGGCAATCCTATTATGCCTCCATTACCAATTTCCCTCGCACTCTTGACAGCAGCTCTACCAAACCTTTTCCTCACTCCTGAAACCTCCCATGGCTCCTCCTCCCCTCAACTCCCTCAGCTGAGAACTTTGCCTCTCATTCTGCAGAAAAGAATGAGGCTTTTCATCATGGGCACCCTCTTCTTCATGTCCCATTACTAAAGTTCCTACTGACATTGTCTCTTCC